TTCAAGAGATAATATACCTTTGTACTTTGCCAAGCTCTATGCAATATCAACTGTCGAGTGATGCTTGCAGCATCTCTTCTATGAATCAACATAATCTTATTATGGGCAAAATCACATGCAAAATTTTAGGAGATTAAAGATTTCAAAACGTAAGTTTTACCTCAGAACCACCACAGAATTTTTCTGTGGTGAGTCAACTCCATTGACCAGAATTCCACAAATGATAAAAGTATGAGTATAGAACAACGATGCTATCTTAACTCTGGGTGCTTGCTTTAGTAAGTGGAATTATTGCAACATACACTGGCTGATATTATCTGTGCAGCTATCCACCAAAAGATTCAATCAGATTTTCCTGTAGTCTACGTATCACCAACTGACTTGTTGGCAACAAAATTTTTGCTAATGCATGAGCCAGAAAGGGCACAGACTGTTGTTCAGCTTCTAGGAGTGAACTGTGGGACCTGCAAACAAGGAATATGGGGGAGGAACAGGGACACGGACACACACAAACAAAACTCTGCTCAGATTTGAAAGTGATAATAAACATTGGTCCCACACCACCAATATTTTGGTGTTCAGTTTTCTAAGAATAGAACTTTAGCTGCAAGGAAACAGAAACACATCCTCTCAAGAATTAATGTATCATAGAAGCAATAGGTTCTTTTGTTTTGAGATATAACATCTTTAAGAATATTCTGCCGTCTGAAAATAATTATTCATTCATTCTTACTTCCATTCTTGTTTGCTTGTTGTATTCAATTTCTAGATTTTTCTTGAAGTTAAGTAACAAGAAAAAAATGAAGTAAATCAACATAAAGCAAAAAAAACCCCTATACTCACATACTTAAAGCGTGTTCAAAGCACAGTTTTTGCTGGTTTAGGAAATGTTTAAGTGTATGTTTGATCTTGCCTGTAGAATTGAACAGAAATTCTGAGTAAACGTCTCAGAAATGTCACTAAGCTAGACCCACAGAGCAGATTTTTAAAGCACCCAATCCCTACATGTCTGGTTTCCCTAGTAAAATCCACCACAGTGCTCTAAGCACTTAAGCTGCAACGGGACATCTGGGAGCATGTTGCTGAAAATGGGATTATCAATTGGTGGAAAGCTGATTTTGAGCTACAAAAATATTAGGTAATGGGAAATGTTGAGAACTGGCTGTGATTCAACTCTTTTTCCTCTTAGGATTAGATGACTGCTTATGGATGTCAAAGAAATGCCCACTTCCAGTTCCAACACACAATTCAGCTGTCCTTGAATTACTACGCAGAAACATCTGAACAACATTATGGAGAAACAGAAGTCAGTGAAATTGCATACTGGAATCTCATTCTAGGTGAATCGGTAGATTACGTGTTAGATTACCACTAAAATGTATGTGTGTGTATATGTTCCCATCCTCCCTTGTCCCTCTGTGTAATCCCTGTCATGAACTTTCTTTCTTTCTGGTGTTCATCAGGTCCTACTCTAAGCTGCTTCATCTTTCCTGTTCTGTAATAAAAGACCTCACTCTGGCAGGACACCATGACTCACATTTTCTACAGACCTACATTCTCATGTTCTTTCAATGCATTTGTGGTATGAAAAAAAAAAAATTAAACCTTCAAAGAGAGAGCACAGTTGGAGCCAGTCCAGCTTCTCCAGTGAAATGGTTAAAGGGGTAAACACTTTATCAGTAGTGTGAAATCTGAATTCAGTACTCTTCCTTAGCCCGAAAACACTAAAATCCACCTTTCTTAATCACAGAATGGTGGAACTTCCCCATAAACTCAAAATTGCACCGATATAACAGAAAATATGAAGGACTACTCTAACTAGATTACATGATCCCACAGGCTCATAAGTGGGGCAATCTTTCCACAAAAAGACATGACAGAAAAATTACTGTTTATACACAAAAGCATGCATATGACTAGACGATAGATTCTACTTTGATGTTGATATTAAAAAATTAGACTTATTTTAACAATCTAGGAACTTCATATTCATTTGGTCCTCCCTCTTCCCTTTAAAGGAACAAAAGCTTTTGAAATGCCAAACAAGTTTAAAAGAATTAATGCAGATGAAAATTCTCTCTCAAGGACCAGCAGCTTGTGAGTTGATGTGAGGAACTACCTTTGCTTGGAACTATAATCAAAAAGAGGTACTCTGACACACTGACAAATGCATTGTGTGGAATAATATCATGATTTTCCGCACAATTGATTTATAAAAGGTTATGCCTAGTACACATATATAAAATATACATATTAGAGCTAGCAAAGGATTTTGTTCAGTTGAATTGATATTACCATAAATCTCCTTTTAATCAGTTATTGTTTGCACTGACATCCAATATGTCTTTTGTAAGGACTCCCTGCTTCTATCTGGCACAAGTGTTTGCCAGAGCGGCTTTCAGACATCTGAATACTGAGGGCCACCCAGCAAACAAAGACTGTCCTAGAAAGGGGCTAATCAAAGGAATCTTTTAGGATTGTAATTAAATTGACAAAAAAAATATTAATTACCTACACTACAGTTACTGCTGTACCTCTTTTTTCCATGTGCTTTTCCCAGTGCCTTTTCTATTACTGCTGGACTGGGTTGTTCTGTTTCTTCATTCAGTATGCAGTTATATCCAGCTGCTACTTTACACAGGGCTATAAGAAGTTACAGAAGTTTTAAGCACTAGAAGTTTTAAAACTTGTAGGTAGTATCATAGACAGACATGCCAAGATTTCACCAAATGTATCTTTCCCTTAAAAATCACATCTGCTGGTGGAATTTGCTTTACTGTTTGACAAATGAAAAAAAGTTTCATAAACTCAGTAAATCCTGAAATAAAAAAAAATTGAGAAGACTATTGTATGATGCATCCCCAAGTTTTCAGACCCAATGCTTACAGTAGATGGATTGGCAAAAAAGTATTAATTTCTTAATTACAACCAAGAAACATACGGTACAAGTATCATTAAATTCATTCACATGTATAATGTCCAATTCCATAACTGCTCTGACTCATTGTACATTCTAGAAGCTTACAAGAAAAGACAAAAATATTTCATGATTTTCCTGACACTAAGACTTTAAACCTCCTGACTGTCGAGAATGTGGGTCTTACTAACAACCACTATGTCACAAGTTATAGCAGAATCATTATATACGTGTGTGTATTTTTTTTTAAAGGTTACATGAATGTGTTAGAATACTTGCATTCTTGGTTCCTCTAGTATTAGCTTTTAAGAAAGCCAACAAAAAAAACACTTACAAAGTAAAAGCCAAGATGACAGCAGTTTGGAAGAAATCCAAATGTTCCTAAGTGCAGTAAATTTCCCAGTGCTGCTAAAAAAAGTCAATGATTGTTGGCAGAGTCACATGTTCAGAAAAACTTCAGTATGAAAGCAGGGTCAGCGTAAAAATCAAGTAACCTAGTACATACTCTTTTTTCAGACTTCCCCTTTTTAAAATGGCATAGCACTTCACAATATTTCAACGCAGCAAATACAATTATTTCTTTGAAAAGCATGATTATTCTGCTTTTTGCCTCACTATGTGTGTGCAAGGAATATAACTACAACCTAAGCTGGTCTGTCATTTTCATAGAGATAGGTATTCACAAAACAGCAATAAACAAAGATATAGATACATATGGATAGAACACTAATTTTAAATTTCTAGGAGACCAGATTATCCTGAATGGTTAACATTTTATATTCCAAATGCAAAGTTAATGTATTAAGGCTATTACAGTTCTAGATTCTATAAAATGGTTTCAGTAGTGTGGTCATGTAAACTGAAAAGCAAACTGATGTCTCTTCAGACTGGAAATTGAGAGAAAAATTGCACACGGATAAGAAATTCCCTATCCAGTCAATGTATCTGTCAGTCAAACTTGTTTCTTCCTAGTTAAATGTCTTTGAAAGAGCAGGGATACAGGTCACTGTCAAATGCTAGCAAAATGAGAAAGCAGCTTTTCATAGATGAGTCTTAACCTGTCTGCCACTTTATGTAATCTGAATTATTTGTTCAAAGATATCCTTCTGTTCATCCATACTCTCCACTAGCAACAGAAATTCTACCTAAATTACAGAATGTAGGAAACGTACGGCACTCTCTGGTGCAACAGCTAGCTTTGTCTAGCACACAGTGGTAGAACTTGTTAATCTGAAAAAATATAGTTAGAATAAAATGTACACATGCTCTCCTCATCCACTTCTTTTGAGTACACCAAGAAAACTTGGAAGGTGCATAGCTTTGGTAACTGGCTGCTTAACATGGCTCTTCACAGGTGTCACACACTGATGTGGACTCAAAGATTGCTCAGTATGAATACATAGAGCCTATAGGCTTGCGTAACATGGGACACTCAGGAAAATTAATTCTAATTAATTTGTACAGTGGATTATTTGAAAATCAAAGTATTCCTTTGTCAATATTCTCACCAGAAATTAAGAAGCAAGTTTAACTTAGTTTAGATTAATTCACTTCAGTTGCAGCACTGCAAGTATTTATCATTGTTTAAGTGATCCCCTGTAAAACTCACACTTTTGGTAATGTCATTAAATTTACCTGAGTACTTAAGTATAGACAAGACATTAAAAAGGAAACGGTCATTTGCTACCACTTCTCTATCAAATATGAAAGAAGCAGCTGATCTAGCTTTGTTTAATGATAGACATCCTCAGTTAATGAATAAAGGCTCTGATGTACCTAGTTGAAATGTAGTCTCGCATGAATTCTGTTCAGCTGGGGGAGAAAGGAGAGGGAAGTCACCTCTTCTTCTAGAGAAATGACCAAATGAGTTTTGATCAGGCACATATTACTGTATCTGCCAGACAGCATATACATGGGACATGAGAACAAACTTAAAATAAACTGCACAACTTTATGAAATGTTCAATTTTTATATTTACACTATAATTAGTACAAAATTGCCTTTTAAGTTTTCTGTAGCACAAGACAGTATCTACCGGACTTGATACCCTAATATGTCAAAACAACTACTTTGAAGTACGATAAAGGAATCTAGGAAGAGTTATAAAGAATAAAAGACACCATTTTCAAACTATACATAGTGTTTGCTTTTGCTTCTAAAAACGCACTTATATCCCCAAAAGGTTTTTAATTTTAAATAAGCAGGGGGGGAAGGGAGTGGGCAGGGGGGGAAGACTGGTTGTTGGTACTAAAGCCTTTACTGTAATAAACTAAATATATTTACAATTTATACAAATGTTTGACCTTCAACAAAAATACAAAAACATATCACAAGATGCAAAACCAGGAAACAAAGTTCATCTGAACCACCACTGCTCTACACAGGACAGAATGCAACTCGAACTGCAAGGAACAGAAAGGTATTTATCCCCCATATTCAGGCAATGAGAACAATTTGCATGAGGTCACAAAGAAAGAAAAAATAAAAGGCTCCAACATTCTTCAGTAGACTCGGCTTTTAAAAACTATGTCAAAAACCTAGGCTACATCTGTCCATCTTGCCTCTGTGTTCTGTTTGCTCCACGTAGCCAATATTTAGTTGCTGGATGTTGCCTTCTATTTTGAAAAATCGGAGTAGTTTCACGGCAAGGTCTGGAACCTCAATACTCTTGTTTCTTTTTAAAAGGCAAAACCTTTCTACTTCTACAATTAAGAACAATTTTGGCCCAGTTCAACTTCTAAAATTTCTATCCCCATCATATTTTTCAGTAGATAACTTCATAGACTGTAGCCTTTTTGTCTCCAGAGCCAGTGACTATGTATTTATCATCCACAGAGATGTCACAGCTAAGCACTGACGAAGATTCTTTGGACTAGAAGAAAAATAGAAATATATTACATCATTAAAAAAAAAGTCTTGTTACCCTCATCTCAGCATCCCATTTTGGGTAGATCACACAGGTGAAGATATCTGAGTCCACTCTTGGGACTCTAGGGGTTCTATTATTTTCTTTAAAAGCATCGTCATCCTCACCTGGAAGATACTGGCTCCATAAGGAGTTCTCCACGCATTAAGAAGGTTATCTTTCCCAGTACTCACAAACCATTTACCTAGAATATAAAACAGAAGGACTATGAAACAGACATCTGACAGATTCTGGGTTTTCAGCTCACATGTATGAAATCTGTTAACTAATTACCACAATAAAAGCTCTCACCACTAATCAACATAGTACTTCTGGTTACAATCAATGCGGACACTCATGCTTTTGCAGTGTGTTACATACTAGGAAATCCCTAGACTCTTGTTAAGTAGAAACAGCTTTTTACACACAAATCAACCCTCGCAGCAGCCTTTAGATAGATGGTTGTTTGTAGATAAGTACATTTGAATTCATAAAGCAGAGATATTTATTTGTAACTTAAGAAACTGAGATACCAAATAAGTTTTGATTATCAAATGAGCTATGACTGTGTAATACCTAATCAGCAAAGCATGAATTAGAGCCCTGGCCTCCAGTTCTGTGTTCAGGGCAACTTACCACAGTAAGCAAACTTGAGTGACAATACACAACTTTCATGAAGGTGCAGTTGATATTTGTCTGGTTTATTTACATGTAGCACTTCTACGTTGCTGCTCTCCATTCCCACAGCTAGCCATTCTCCAGTAGGACAATAACCAAGGGAAAATATCTGAAAATTAAACCACATTTACACTTTTTATTTTTTTCTACCATGGTTAAACTAACTTGGAGAATGAGAGAGAGAAAGGGCCAAATAAAATTCACATAGTTCAACAGCAAGACTTCTGTTCAAAACTACGAGTGACTAAATAACCCTTGTTCTTACCTATTGAATTAGAAAAACAGGAAAAGAGAATAGTGTCAGGCTATCATTTTTTTCTGGAAGCTAAATGTAAAGCTCCAAAATATTTTGTTGTAAGCAGCCAAAAGGAAGAGAGTGAACAATCTGCCAGTTGAACTGGGCTTAATCTCAGCTTTCATCCTAAATGTTTCCCTCCTACTGCACCTCCCTCCGCACCCAAAGCTGTAGGAAAATCCAGTTACCTGTGATGTGAAGTCGTGCTGTTGTAGCTGTCTTCCCTCTCTCAAGTCCCAGGATCTGACAGTGTTATCCAAACCTCCTGTCCAGAGCTTGGTACCATCATTAGAAATGTCAATACAGCTGGCTCCATCTGTGTGGCCCTGGAATTGCCTGATAAAACAAAACAGATTGAATAATGATTTCCTGCCACAGTTCAAGGTAAACAGTGTTGTGGTGTTAGTTGTGGACTCTGTACATGCGTGTCATTTCTTCTGTGTCTGCTGACGGGCAAAAATCAGCCCCTCCCTCTTACTGAGCATGAAATACAACAGTACTACAAAAACGTTTGCCAGGTGCTAGAGAAATTAGTTGCTTCATGGCTAGCAGAGCAAAGTCAAATATTTCCTATCAGGTTTTGAAAAGCAAAATCAAAACTTGTGAGAACATTGAAGTACAGTAACTATAGTTAAAAGCACTAACAACAACTCAGATAAAAACAAGTGCTGAGAGAACAAAACTCCTCCAGTTTCAGAAAACAGCTTCTGTATTTCTATTTGGCTGCAAGTCAAGATGATAAATAATAAGCAGAGATATTAATAGGAAGGGTGCAGACAGAGATCCCAATAGTTTAACACAAGCATTGTTGAGTCAGCAAAGTTGCATTCTCTGTGTAGGGAGATCACAAAAATCTAAATGGTGCAGTTTGTTTTAAAATCTTCTCATTAGTAATTATCAGATTTCAACAACTAGAACATCTCAAGCTTTCCTTAATTCTTTGGCAAAAGCCTTCTGAGGCCCCTGCAGTTTTCATCAGCAATTAGCTTTAGGAAATTCCTACGTCTCAAAGCGAAAGGCGGAGGGCAGGGGGGAAAAGACAACTAGCTTGGAAACGAAGGGTATGAATCACTAAGATCTGTCACAGAAAGGTCATGCAGCAGAGTTTGGTTTGTAGCACTAGTCTCAAAATTCCACGTGTTATCAATTGGCAAGATCAGCCAGCAAGCGGCGGGAACATCTATAGCAAACATTCAAAAGGCAAGACAGTCAGAGATGGAGAGTACACCTTCACAGAGACTAAGCATGCATAGGACAAACTGAAGATTTTGTATCACTAAAATCTTTGTTGACCTAAAAGTTCAATAGAAAGTAAAACTTGCATGCACATTAACATGACTATCTGCACGTAAGTACTATTTACGTTGCTGTCATGAACCACTATTCAGGGAGACAAATATTTATGTAGCTGTCCAAAGAGTAACTTCTATTACAGTTTTCTGTAAACGACTTACCTGACCAATGTCTGATTGTGTAGATCCCACACTGCAATGTTCCCATCACTGCAGCAGGAAAAGCACACCTTGGAATCAGGGCTGATAGCCAGAGCATAGCAGGCAGGGGCTGAGGATGTCAGCTCTGCTTTTATACGAGGAGTTGGTGCTGCCAGGTCCCATATGGATAAAGTGCTGGCTTCCCCGCCAACTATTAGGGTGCATCCATCAGGCAGCAATTTACAAGAGCGGATGTAGTTATCTCTGTTCTGTGCAACACAAATCACCTCAGTTATGTTAATACATGCCTGCCAATAATGACCACTAATATGATTCTGATTGCACCCAAGTTCTAAACAGTAAACCAAAGTAAACCTTTACCAAAGTACTGAAGAGGAACCAGCAGATCCTAAAGGTTTCAAACACCTACCTCTCATCACTAAACTGAGAATGCAGCTTCAGAAATTGAACTGCAGACTCCAGTTGCCACAGTCTACTGTTTTAAACCTGACAAATGGCAAGTCTTCCATCTCATTACACAAAAACAGACCCAAGTAAGCTTGCATTTCTGCAAGTGCACTCCATCAGCTAAGGTCACCAACAATAGAAATGTTAAAGCAAATGACCTTTCATTTGGCATTTAGACAACCCTATAGGAAAATGCAGCTCAAGTCTCATGCCTTTCAGGGTTTTGGAGTTTTCTTTCAAATACTATTTTGCATTCACCGTTTTAAAGTTAAAATATTAAGTATTCCCATACTGGTCCTGGATTTATGTTGGTCCTTTGTTGTTCAACATGATTCTTACTGTATTTACATTATTAGTTTCATATTTGTGATATTATTGCTGATTAAGAAGTACTACAAGGATTTAGAGGTGGAAAACATTTCAGTTTTCACTTATTACATGCTTGACGCTTGACTCCTTAAGTGTATTGGATGTTCATTTCTCTGTTAACAGCTGCCAAACTAACATGGTAGCAGTTCTTTAGGAAATTGAGGGATGGTTAAGAGTAGTAACTCAAAACATACAAAAACCACTGCAAGTAGTTGTCAGCAGCATTCCTACTACTACTTTTTTTTGGTAATTCACAGCAAAGGAGCATTAATAGTGCAGTGGAAATGTTGGCTTAGTCATTACTGCTCCAGAACTAAAATGCAAGCAGCTAGGACTGTGCTTCCAGACAGTCACCTGCCACAGGACAGAACACATATTCAATCATATTTGTACTACTAGATAACTAACATAAGGGTAGCAGTAAATAAAGGGTAAGGGCTAAAAACACAAACCAAACCAAAAACCCACTACATTTAATTGAATCAGCATTGAAGCTAGAATTACTTTCATTCAAAATATGTATTACTGTGCCTTATGACATTGTCTTCTCAGTTAATATTTCACAAACATCTATGTTGCTTCTAATAAGAGAGTCATCTTTTATTGGGCCATTAACTTTTGAGTTAGCTTTTCAGCTACTTATACTACCGCATTCAGTCCTTTTGTATCCTGCAGATGAGAAAACAACTGACCAAAATGTGTAACTTGTGGATGATCCACAAAACCACAGTGAGACTTCAAGTGATCTTGGCACCTTGTCACATTATTTCATTACATGGTTGCTACCTTCTTACAAAAAAAGAGGTTGTCACTCCTGCTATGAGTGAAACACCTAGGAAAATTCTGTGCAGCCCTACATAAACCAGGCTATATCCCTTTTAAACTCATGCACAAAAATCAGTGAGACTAGAAGGGAAAAAAAAAAAAAACACACAACAAAACGGGTACACTCTCTACTAATAAGTCTTATCTAATCTGTTATTTGACCCTTAGTGATATTTATCCCTAAACAAATCAGCATTCCTCTCTCTAACTCCACCTGTTATGTGTTTAAAAAAAAAAAAAGACAGCTAAGTACAAAAAGCAGGAAACAGAACTGCCTGCTATTTCCTTGTAATATGAACAAAATCCAGACAAAGACAGCTATTTCCTTATTGAGTCTCCAAGGAGAAGCTACACTTGTGCACAAGTTCCTGTTCACCTACCAGACAGTCCAGCTGAGAGACAGGGCTCTTGTTGCCAGGGTGGCTGATGTCCCAGACTTTGACACACCCCTTCCCACCTGTGTACACGTGTCTTGTGGGGTTGCTGATGGTAACTGCACACACAACTTCCCCGTGGTTCAGAGTGTTGATCTGACGGGCATGGCGAGGGATTCCTGGACCAATGAGGGCATCAGGAGGGAAAGGAACCGGCTGCATCTGACCATCTGCAGTAACATGAAAGGAGTAGGCTCTATTGGGGAAGGGAAAGAAAAGAGAAGACCAGAAAAAAAAAAAAATCAGCCAGTTACAGTGCGATAACACAAGAAAAACACAGTATATTTAAATTTTATTTCTTTGCTTATCTTTTTCTCATTAAAATCAGAGCTACAGTGCCAAGTAATACACACACGAAACCTCAGAGGGAAATAAGGATTCACAATAGATATTTCCAGCTTGCCTCAACTAAAGTATTCATGCAGTGGGGAAGCATGTTAAATTTTAGCCTTAACTCTATGGACCAAGGTCATAGCTACTATCCCTCAGCCACCTGGATAATGAAAGGATCTTTCAGCCCCTGGTTTCTAGCCTGCAGTCTTTCTAGCCTTCCAAGTCTCAGCACAAGTCCTACAGCAGCAATCTCTCACCAGGCACTACTCTTCCATGAGGTTTGCACCTGTTGCCTTGCAGTAGCACTAACCAAAGTTCAACTTTTCCTCTGTTTCTGCACCTCGTCTTTAACATCAGCACCAGCTGTGCTCACACGCCTCTCTTTCCAGCTGGTAACTCATACTTTAACAGAAAATAGAAACATGTAGAATAGTTGCACACACTTTTCACCAGAAAGCTGATAGCATCTTCTCATAATTATGTTTTCCTGAGTAAGCATTTTGGAAAAGCTGAAAGGCTAGGTTTCCCAGGTAGTTTTGGCACTTCTGTAATGCCTTTTATTTGTATTCAGTGCATGACTTCAAGTATATGGAAACTGAGGGTTGACTAAGTGAATGCCAGCACTGAGTAAGAAAACTCCTTCCTTGGGAAAGTACACAAAACTATTTCTTCATGTTCACTGTAATGTTTAAAGTCAGCTCTACTCAAGGAACAGGGCACAAATAGCAGTTAATAAGGGTTTCAGGTGCAGGGGGGGTTCCTTTGTTTGTTTGTTTTAAGCAGTAATGAAATTACTACTGCAAAAGGCAGCTTTTTGTTATACTAGTGAGCTCATTTTTTGCTTCTTTTGTTTTAAGTACATCTACAGCTCATGTTTTTGATGCTGTTGATACATTAATAGCATTTTTCAAGAGGCCACAGTGGATAAAAAATGGTGAGATATGAGTTTTGGTTTTTTTGTTTTGGTTTGTTTTTTTTTAACTAATGAGCTACCATCTCCCTAGTGGTATCTTTTTTTCCCAACATATTTCTTTTTCTTTGGAAAAGAATTACCCTTTCTTTTCCAAATGTACCTTCTTCCTCAGAAATCTTCAGTTACTGTAGCTCAAGTATTAGTATTGCATCCCTCTTCCAAGGGCTCAAAAATTGATAATTCAATTTAATCTTCTGTTCTGAGCTCCAAGACAATATTTTCAAAGTATTTTAGTGCTTATTTCCATGTACTGCACAGTTTGAAAGGAAAGAACAAGCAAGATGCTTGGATGCATAACAGACATGACAAAGCAACTGAATATGCCCAGGAGCAGAGCAGAAAATACTCCTTTAAAAAAAGAGTGAGAAGTGGAGAGGTGAAAGAACTCTATAGTTCTTTCATACAGAAGGTAACAGTGGAAACAGCCACTCCATGCAATATCAGTTTTCTCAGAAAGAAAGGGCAAAAACTGGTTAACAGTAACTGCTATGAAACAAAGAAGAAATTAATAGTGCATATACATGCAATTCCTGTACCCGATTCGAGTTTCATGGTTGGATATGCGAGTTGAAAGCCTGCTCAGAGAACATACAGAAATGGAGGATGAGTCAGTCCAAAAGATAAGAAATTTTTTTTGTCATGGAAACGTCAGGCATGGGAAATGCGCGATAAGAAAGGAAGTGTAAAGTTCACTCCCTTACATGTATACAAGATTTGCCGTACTTCAAATGTATTTCTTCCCATTTCTTTCTCTCTTTTTGTATGAAGAATTACGGTAATGATAAAGGCTTAACTAGGAATCTGTATCATATCTGTGAAGAAGAGTAGTGGCTGTCCCCAAGTAGTTATTCACTAACAGCCAAAACATAGGATGGGAGAGGAAGCATAAGAGGAGCGGCAACAAGGCTGCTCAAGGCTGAACTGTTCAGGTACAGAATCCAACTAAAGAGTCATAATACTTAAGAGGCTGAAAAGCTGGGCCCCATCCTGGGCTCCAGATCAAAGTCAGTTGCAGAATATTTGTTAGCAGTAAGAGTACAGAGAACTGCACAACTTTGAAGTCTCAGCCTGCCCTTACCTTTACTGTGGACAGAAGAAAAACAATTAAGCAAGTATTAAGGAATTGTTTCCAGGGTGTTTAAGATTAATAATCCATTTGCACATGATTTTTTTTAAATGGAATGTAACAGCATAAATGTTCTGTTCAATTCAAAATACCTAAATAATAGGTGTTTTGAAATGCTTCTGTGCATACACACAGACTCTGAGTTCTTGCTGAGATGGGGTGGGAGGAAGACAATATGAACATTTTTCAAGTGCTTCATGCATACTGTAGATTTATGATGACTCTTCTGCTCCGAAATGCCAGTGACTTACCCAGTGTGCTTTTAATCACGTAGAATTTGACTTATATGCCTGTGTTTAAAGTGTGGTTATATAGATCTCAAAAGTAGTCTCTCTTTTATCATCATGAGCAGGAAGTTGCTCCCAAGACTGGTTGGTCAAGACTCAGGAGAGAATCATAGAACCATTAGGTTGGACGAGACCTCTGAGATCATCAAGTCCAACCACTGACCTAATACGACCATGCCCACTAAATCATGTCTTGAAGTGCTACATCTACACTTTTTTTGAAATACTTCCAGGGACAGTAACTCTACTACTTCCCTGGGCAGTTTGTTCCAATGTTTGACTACTCTTTCACTAAAGAAATTTTTCCTAATGTCTAATCTAAACCTTCACTGGTGCAACTTGAGGCCATTTCCTCTTGTGCTATCACTTGCTACTTGGGAGAAGAGACCAACCCCCACCTCACTACAACCTCCTTTCAAGTAGTTGTACAGACCAATAAGGTCTCCCCTCAGACTCCTCTTCTCCAGACTAAACAAACCCAGTTCCCTCAGCCGCTCCTCACAAGACCTGTTCTCCAGATCCTTCACCAGCTTTGTTGCCCTTTTCTGGACATGCTCCAGCACCTCAGCATCTTTCTTGTAGTGAGGGGCCCAAAACCACACACAGCATTCGGGGTGCATCCTCACCAGTGCCCAGTACAGGGGCACGATCACCTCCCTTACTCCTGCTGGCCACACCATTTCTGATACAGGCCAGGATGCTGTTGGCCTTCTTGGCCACCTGGGCACACTGCTGGCTCATGTTCAGCCGGCTGTCTACCAGCACCCCCAGGGCCTCGCCCCCTCACCCCCAAGCCTGTAGCGCTGCATGGGGTTGTGGTGACCCAAGTGCAGGACATGGCACTTGGCCTTGTTATACCTCATAAAACTGATCTCAGCCCATCGATCCAGCCTGTCCAGATCCCTCTGAAGAGCCTTCCTACCCTCGAGCAGATCAACATTTCCACCCAATTTAGTGTAATCTGCAAACTTGCTGAGGGAGCACCCAATCCTCTCATCCAGATCGTTGATAAAGACATTAAACAAGACTGACCCCAAAACTGAGCCCTGGGAGACACCACTTGTGACCAGCCACCAGCTGGATTTAACTCCATTCACCACCACTCTCTGTGCTCGGCCGTCCAGCCAGTTTTTAACCCAGTTTAGAGTGCACCTGTCTAGGCCATGAGCCACCAGATTTCCTAGCAGAATGCTGTGGGAAACAGTGTCAAAGGCTTTACTAAAGTCCAGGTAGATGACATCCACAACCTTCCCCTCATCAACTAGGTGGGTCACCTGGTCATAGAAGGAGATCAGGTTGGTTAAGCAGGACCTGTCCTTCATGAACCCATGCTGGCTGGGCCTGAGTCCCTGGTTGTCCTGCACATGCCATGTGAGGACCCTCAACCTTACCCAGCACCAAGGTCAGGCTGACAGGCCTGT